TTGTACACAATAAAAAAAGAATCAACTTATTACCATCTCATGGCACCCACGCTTCATCCAGATATGGGTGATCTTGCACTTTATTAATAGTTTTTTCACCTCCCTTGGAGCTTTGTGCTGCATGCCACGTTTCGATTCTCGTCTTTTGCAAACCAGCATTGTTGGTATCAATCCATAGCATACTGAGACAACTTTTGCATCTTACGTTTAAGATTTCATAAATCAGCAGCACCTATAGGTTGCGACTTTCCCTATTTTTATTAAACGCTCCGTCTAACTTTAATAGTAATAATTAATTTTTTTTGATTTAAAAGTGTATAAGTAATAATAATCAATACAATAATTAAAAAAAACCTGATTAACTGTCAAATAAACTGGCACTCTACTAAAACTTCTCTATAAATTTTGATATAGAAAATATATGGTAAAATATTCCGTATACTTTTCACTGAAACTTTCGAGGCATCCTTTTATTTACAAAAATTAAAAAAACCAACATAAATGGTTTTTCGGCAAATATATCCAAAACCAATGAATATTTGCCAACCATGTATGTTAAATGAAAAGTCTAATACTTAAATGCGGTCTAGTTCCCACGCAAATATTTTGAATATTTTGAATAACATTAAAAGTTCCATTCAAATTTAAGTGGAGGAACCAATGAATCGTTTCAATGAATGCTTGCTAACCACGGTCATGAGAAGTCCAAGCATGGAAATATTAAAATTCAAAAATTTATGCATATGGACAATATAGATAATTGCTAAAGAAAACTTAATAGTAATAAGAATAAAAAATTATTTTATTTTTATATATAATGATTTATAATGATTTGCTATATAAGACTATAAAGTACTAATGACTATGACGTCACAACTAATTGCTTAAGAATAGTAGCACATCCCTTGAAAAACTTTAGTAGCATGTTAGTAAATATTATAACATGTAACTTATTACATCCCTTGTTACATGTCATGTAGTATCATTTAATAAAAAATATTTAAAAATTTAGATACAAAATTCTGGGAAAAAGTGAATAGTCAATAAAAATAATGAAACTTTAATACCAATAACAGCCAAATACTAAAATATTTTTTACTTGGATAAAGAACGAGTACCTAATTTCACTCGCCCGAAGGCACCTCACCAGGTACCACAACCTCCCCCCGACATCTTAGCCTTCAGCACTCTCACTGTGGACTTGGTTCAGGCCTTGCGCCATAAACTCCTCATTACATCTCTTTTTATTTCGATGAGTAGGACTCCGATCCCTCCATCATCCCTTTCTATAATAGTGTCTGTCGTGACCCTAGTCACAAAGTCTACCGTTAGTTCCCCCGCATTTCCGCTATAACCCCTTAGACGAATTTAGTTTCGCCTTAATATTAAGCTTCTCGCTTTAATTTCTCTCCTTTCATTACTGGAATAAGGTTGCATCCGTAGCAAGCGGCACTCTCTCTGTGGTAATGGTAATGGTATTTAGGGGTTTCGGGTTAGGCTAAGGCCCCCATGCACTGCGACCAGTTTGATCTATCGTGCATCGCATTGTATTAAGATATTTAGTATCTAGAGGAATCGAACCAGCTCCTTCGGAGGGAGTTTTCGAAGGTCTTTATCCTCTAGTCGGTATGCACCTAAAATTTTGTTTCTTCTGTGGCTTAGTGCATCACAGTTGGTGATCAGATGTTCCATAGACTATTCCTCATAACAGCAGGATCTGCAAATATTAGTATCGGGTATACCTATTTTGTGTAGGTGTTTGTTACATGCGGCGTGGTCTGTTGTTGCACCAGAGAGTGTCTTTAGACTCTTATTGTTTAGGTTGAGAGCGGTGTTTGCTCTTTTGGCATCAAAATTTAAGAAATTTTTGAAATGATATAGGCCGTCTATTCCATTCCAGTATTCACTGATACTTTGTTGGATCCATTTTTTGGTCTTCTGTTTTATGTTTGCTTTATAGAAGCCAAACAAGGAAGTTGGACCAATGAATGATTCTTCTGTCTCTTTTTTGGCATAAAGGTCCGCATTTTAAACAAGAATACATAAAAAATTATAATCGATTAAGACCTCAACATATTAATATTGAGTGAACCCTTTTTCTATTCATCAAAAGAAACTAGAATAAGAATATTTTTTTTCTTTGTGAAGCTTTTGTGTACATTTTAATTCAATGAATTTAATGGATACTTATTCATCTGATATCTGCAGCGGTCAAATGTATATGCAAGTTTAAAATTGAAAGCGTATTAATGCACTTATAGAAAGATAAAGCAATTACAGAACATTATGTGAATGTCATCGAGTATAGAGTATAGTATGTGACTTCATCTTTACTAGTTCAGAAAAGCAGAAATAGTTTTTCTGCAATTTCATTTGTTCAATTTTATCTCGTTACGCGAATACAGTGCAAATTTTTCCCAAAAGACTTATTCTACAATATTTCATCACGTTTGCATGTAGAGTATACGGGTTAAGAGCCAACAAACTGCATAACTGATAGCAGAATTGCGTTAAGTTATGCTGGCGGATTTAATATTAAATTTCCAAGATTTGTGGATTTGTGGATTTGTGCACTAAAAAGTGTTTTCCTTTGCTTAACAAGTACACTACATTTTACAGTTGTTTTATTAAAGCTAAAAAAATTTTTTTTATAATAAAAATCAATTTTCAAAATATTTCTAATGCTTTGGACTAAGAATAGAATATGTATGGTATTTGAAGATATAAATAAATGTAATAACAGTTTAGATACTTAAAATACTAATTACTAATACTAATTAAAATACTTAAATATTAAATTATAATATTATAAACGTTTATAAATAAATAAATTATTTGGCAACATTCTTTTAGGAATTAAAGTCAACTAAAGCATCGAAAGCCACCGTGTGAGACTTCAACCCACTAAACCACCTCTTAGGTAGGTAGGTAGATGGTAGATGGTGACAACGGCTCCATAGTTTTCTTGTAGCAAATTTTATCTATATTAGTTCTTTTTCTTCTTCTTTGTTCCGTTAACTCTCAGTGGAGCATAGGGCCTCAACAATTTCTCTGAACCGTATTCTATTTGGAGCTGCCGTGCAGATGTCGTTCCATGAGTAGCGCGCTGATGTTATTTCGGCATCAATTGTCCTTCGCCATGTTCTTGAAGCAGCGCCAGGCCGGCAACTGCCTTACGGGTTCCATTTTAGGGCTTACTTAGCGATATAGGAATTCGACTTGCGTAGCGTATGTCCGATTTATTGCCATTCTTGTGTTTTGATTTCGCTCTCGACGCTTTGTATTTGTGCTTTTCTCCACAATTCTGCGTTAGAGATGCGTTCTATATTAGTTAAAACTCGTAGATCTTAATTCGGATTTTGTCGAGTTGACTGTACTAACTGTTTAAATATTTTTCAATATTAGAATTTATATCGACCAAATACAATTTTGGAACGATAAACTTAAGTCTCTTAATCATTTTAAGCTATTTTGTAGGGTTTCAGAGTTATAAGTTGATAGTAATAAATATTTTTCATTTATTTTGGAATTTTTTTCAAAAAATTTTACAAAACAAAATATTTTTTTTATTTAATTGATAATACGGAAGGAATTTAAAAATAAATTTAAAAATAGAAATATGTTAATCTAATTTGAGTAGGGCGTGGCGCAGGATTCTGAAAAATAGGTCTGCAGTTTTTGTGCTATGTGTATGATTAAATTCCTATTTTATTTTATAAAAAAGTTCACCTCTATTCTTCCGTCTAATAATCCTCTAATTTTTATTAATTTTGTGAACTGCAAAGAATTTCGGCAAAAAATATATTATATTCCCTCTAGTCGCAACCCTGTCTGTGAGCCACTGTATGTATTAAGTTTAATAAGATGAAATAAAAATTTGAAACTATAAAAATTTTGAGGATGAAAACATTGAGCCATTTACACTTTTGTAGTCGTACTTAATGTTCCATAATACTTTATCTAGTTAAAAGTATCTTAATTTTAACTTTGAGTGTGTGCAATACGGGTATATATTATGCAGCATTGCCACATAATAGGACACAGTCTCTTTGTTCCATAAGAGGTTATAAAAATGTACCACGTGGCTCTAAAAGTGTTACGAAGAAAACAAATGTGCATGTTACTCGGTTCGTGACTTATCATGTGTTGCATCTATGCGGTGTTTTTGCGAGGCAAGGAATAAACAGCGTAGTTAGGAAGGCTCCTCACGTATAGCGCTAATGGCATATACTTGCACCGAAAGCTCACTATGCGTTTAAGTGGTTGTAAACCCAAATAAAAATAAAGCTAAAATACTAAATTTAAAGTAAAGCAAAGGCGAAAAACAAACGTAAATGAAATTTAATGTTAATGATAGATACATTTTAAAGGATATTGATAAAATTATATGAAGCTTTATTATATTCATTGTGAATCTTTGTTTAAAAAGCATAAAAGGATTCAAAGTGTCAATTGAATTGGCAGAGAGATTTAATTTAGTTAAATCAATTTTCCTTAACTGATATAAAGTTTCATTTACGGTTTCTACTCGTATGTGCAAATCGCAATAAATCGATTGTATGCAGATGAACTAGTATCTGGCACAGTTGGAAATTATGCGCACATATTGAACGAAGCCAGCGTTTTTGTGGATGAGTACATAAATTTGCATTTTAGCCATATGTAAAGTGTATCTGCAGGATGTGCCTTGACAAACTAAATGTTTACGGATATGGAAAAAAAAATATTCGTGATTATTGCAAGGAAGAAAGTGTTCAAAAATATTTGTTGTTTTTGGTAGTAGTTCAAACTGCTATTTGTTGTCTCAGTTTGCAAAAAAAAAAAATGATAATTTAAGTTAGGGAACCAGATTGAACTTCCTTAGTGTTTTAATGTAAATAGAGTCCTAACTACACCAAATAAGTATTAATTATAGATTCAACCTTCTTCGTGTTTTAATGTAAATAGAGTCCTAACTACACCAAAACTGGTATTAGTTATGTGTCAACAAAAATACCAGTAGGGGGCACAATTTATAAGTCGGTGGCAGGTAAAAGCTCTGTGGTAGATGAAAAATTTTTGTCAAGGAATGTTGGTATGTTATAACGTTTTGATATACGAAAAATTTGAAAATAACTTTGTTACAAGTTAAGATAAGATATTTAATTGCCAAATCTGTAAAATCTTGTTTAGATGTATTATTAAAATCTGTCGTAAGAGAAGTCGGTAGCTTAATACGCTTACGCTAACTACAAGATATTCTACAAAAGTGATGTGGAATCTTTCAAAATAATAAATGTTGAATACAGTTATATATTTAAGGTATCCAATTAGATTTATGATTTTAAAAATTGATAGATAACTGAATCTATTTAAACAATAATTTAAGCTTTGAAAAATTAAGATATTTAAATTTTAAGTTTTTTATGTTTCACTCCTGATTACTGGAATACGAATCCAGCTGGAAGTCTTTCTGAGTCGAATGGCTGAGATTTTTTCAACTTAATCCTAAGATATGGTTTCAGAGAGTTTTTCGGGTAGTTTCTTTTGATATCTTATGCATATGTTAATATAAAGCCATCCACGTTCTTTCCACAACTGATTTCTTTTAATTTGTGAACGAATTTATTATTTATTATGAGATTTTTTCAACTTAGTCCTAATATATGGTGGTTTCAGGAAGTTTTTCGGGTAGTCTCCTTTGATATCTTATGCATATGTTAATATAAAGCCATCCATGTTCCTTCCACAACTAATTTCTTTTATTTTGAACCAATTTATTATATCATGTATTTATGACTTTTAGTAAGGAAATCTCCAGTACACACTATCTTCATAGATAATACACATGCAGACGTGTATCTATTCGAAAATGTAAGAATTTTTTTTCTGTTGCAACAATTCATATTGATTCATATTAATTGATCTAGATACGCCAGATGTCTGAGAACTGAAAATATTAAAACTTGACACGTAATTAGAAAAAATGTTTGCCGCGATTGTATTATGATAAACTTTTCACGTAATACAAGTTGAGTAAATAATAAATAAATAATACCATATGTAATAAATATGTTCAGTGATTAGAAAATGAAGAAAATTTAAAAAGAGAGGTTTCGAACAGTACTGAATTGCAACAACAAAAATTTTAATTCATTTTTAATTAATTTTTGACTGACCATACAGCTGTTCTCAAGTATTGCCAAATACTCATCATCAGTGGTTTTGAAAATAATTTTTTTGAATAATTTTTTGACTCTGCAAGTATCAAGAGTTGTATTCGTGCCCTGTCAAATTTGTTGCTCAGAGTCAGTGTTAGCTGACTCAAAGCCGTATTTGATTTATATGTTCGAACTTGGAGTTTTGTTAATTTGCTGTGAATGTTTAGCGGATAGATGAGATTTAATTTATTGCTTCACAAATAATTCGATTTCAAGTCTTCCGCACTACTTTAAGCATCTTGACGAAGCAAATTCTTTAGATGAGTATAATTCCGTCAGTGTTTTAATAGTAAACTAGAAAATATTTTTTTCACCATTGGTCAATACCTTTATGTTCTAGATTTAACACTAGAATTAATATTACAACATTTGTATAATTACAACACACAAATAACTACACTGTAAATGTATTTATAAAATGTGAAAAAAGAATAATTATTGTTAATCTGTTTCTCATTAAAAGCTCCATGTTTGAATCAATTAACCTACGCCATTATACATTAACGCATCAATAATTAAGTAAACACATTGCATGCGTGCCTAATTGAGTAATTATGGTTAATTACACAATTAATTTCTTAAATTTCCATCATCAAAACCTTATAAAAGGTAAAGAAAAAAAATACCAAAATTTATTTTCACTTAAGCGAATATGGACGCAGTAGCAAGTACAGATTTTTTCAAGCCACATTGGCTGTGCTGGAAAATTTTGGGTATAGCACGACAAAAGGTCAAAAATAAATCAGCTTATTTACTTTACGGCATCATACTGAATATTGTGGTTACTCTTTATTATCCTATACATTTGTTAATGTCATTATTTCAAAATCAAACGGCAACGGATAATTTAAAAAATTTTGCAATTAGCGTTACGTGTACCGCATGTACCTTAAAGTTTCTCATCTACGCCATCAAATTGGATAAGGTACGTGAAATGGAAATGCTACTAGAGAAGTTGGATGCCAGAGTTCAAAGTGCAGATGAAAAGCAGGAGTTTGGAAAATTGCGTACAGATATGAGAAATATTGCTTACAGTTTTGTTATAATTTATTTTCCAGTCATTGTGACTGGTAGCTTGTCAGTGATTTTAAAAGAGGAACGTAATCTATTATATCCTGCTTGGTTTCCATTTAATTGGCGTGAATCCATATTAAAATATTTATTGGCCAGTTTGTATCAAATGGTGGGTATAAGTTTCCAGCTACTACAGAATTATGTCGATGATTGTTTTCCATCGATGGCACTTTGTTTATTATCTGGACATATTAAAATTTTGGGCATGAGAGTGTCAAAGATTGGTTACAGTGTGACAAAAATCGCCGATAATGAGCTAGAATTAGACAAGTGTATAAAAGATCAAAATAATCTATACAAGTTAGTTAAGTAACTACTTACTTCTTATAAAATTTACAAAACTTTTTTATACATTTTCTTCTAGACTTTTTGATTTAATTCAGGATATCACTTCACTACCTATGTTTATACAATTTACGGTTAGTGCATTGTGTCTTTGCGTTGCTATGGCTGCACTCATATTTTATGTAGATGACCCAATTGATCGTCCGTACTATGTGGTCTACCTTTTAGCTGTGCCAATGCAAATATTTCCTACCTGTTACTATGGCAGCGATTTCCAATACCTCTTCGGTCAACTACATTATGCGGTGTTTCGCAGTAATTGGATGGATCAGAGTCAAATGTACAAAAAGCATATGATTCTATTCACTGAACGTTCAATGAAACCCACTACTGCAGTTGCTGGCGGTATGTTGCGCATACATTTGGACACATTCTTCTCAACTTGCAAAGGTGCATATTCATTGTTTGCTGTCATCATTAGATTGAATAGTAATTAATGTAAACCAAATACAATTTAAATGATTGTTATCTAAAAGCAAATCGTTGCGTTTTGGTGATTTTCATGTAAATTAGAAAAATATTATAACATATTTCAGTTAAAAGTTATAAATTACAATTAATAAAGTTGGAAAAAATGTTTTTTTTTGTTTAATATTTTAATTATAGTAATCATGTAAGTTAACCTTAATAGCACTATTATACTGAGAGAGCAACTTAATGCATAAAAAATCTATATAAAGGTACAAAAATTCTGAAAATTAACAGAAAAGAAAGTTAATATATTAGTTTCCTGTTTTGTTATTTGATTTGATGATGATATAGTACAGTTTGATTAAAAAGTATATAAATATTTTATAAAGACACAAAAAGGCCGCGTTGATCTGTGAGCTATTAAAAAAATTAAGAGAAATAGAAGTTAATATTTTAGTATTTTTTTTATTTTCTTTAAAATGAAGATAATGCAAGTTGGACACGATATAAGATTTAAAACATTGTGTTAATGCCTTATGATGTTTTTGTGCTCCCAAGATGTTTATAGTAGTGCGAGAATCTTGGCAGCCAAATGAACCCTACATATAGAATAATATTTTTGTTCTATATTTTAAACACTATACAAGAGACTCGCTATACCTACAAGAGATATTAAAATTATGGAGCCTTCGAACAGTCTAATAAAATTGGAATAGTTATTATCAAAATTATTTTATTTAACAAATATTTCTTGCTTAAATATTTTTTGTTTCCATCACCTTCAACTTTTTTGTGAGCGACCATAAAAATAAGAAATTGTTTTGTTTATTTTAGCTTAAAAAACTAACAATAAGCGAATTTTAAAAACCAAATTTATTTTTTTCCCTAGGCCATATCTTTGGAATAAGAATTGAATCATTAAATAATTTAAAATTAAAGTTTTTTTCTGTTAAATTTTTTTGCTACCCTGAGTTACGTTAGGTCGCAGTGGGGACCTTGTGCTCAAAACTCACTTGAACTCTAATAATTTCATGAATCAGCAAATCATTTCCTAATTTCATGCGGTTTAGTTAACAACATTCTAAACATTGCCTATTAAAAAAGATGTTAGGTTAAGTTGGAGTGGCGGCCTTGTATACCAAGAAAGTACACTAGAGCTCAAAATAATGACCCGTTGTAGTACCACAGAAAAAAAACAATGTTAAAAACTTTTTAAGCTAACTAAATATTGGTATTTTTAACTGTAATATAAAATATTTTATTATACTCATAATTGGAGCAAAAAGGATGAATCTTCAATACCGGCATCTTATTAGGTCATATAAATTGTAAAAATATTCCTCACCAACAACAAGTTTAGTGCTAATGTAATAAGATATTTCCTTCACGAATTATGTGTCTCGTGAAAACTTAAACCAAAACTTTAGCGAATAAGCAAATTATTTCATATATGTACTTTATCTGTATTTTAGTTCCCTAAACAAACTAATTTTGTAAACTAACACAGTTAACGCAACAGCCTACATAACCAGCAGGAATGAAACAATTTGGCCAAAATTTAAGCTACAGATTTCCACATGTAAGGATTGCTTATTACTTATACATGTATTTGCAGTGCTCGCAAAAGCCAAAGCCTCGTACCAGGACACATATGTTGCGAAAGTGTAATGTAAGGATTTGGCAACTTTGTATCCATGTTATTAACTGACATCGATATTGACATGACATAACTAAAGACAATTGCCAGTTGCTGTATGTTAGCTTTACAGATTGAATTTTCATTCGGCTTACATGTCTTACATGTTTCTGACATTTCTATCTTTTGTCCTTCAATTTATTCTGTAGAGACTACAACTGCACACATATGACAAAACAAAACGTTATCTGGTTATCTGCTGTCAATGCGTAGATATGGCAAAGTAAAATAATTTGGTACAAATTTAATTTCAGGAGCCAAGCTTTGTGGTAGTAAATTTAATGTCATTTTTTCTGTTGCTTTTACATTTCTGAATTACACGGAAGTAAAAATTAAACTTTGCTATATCCCTATTTTACAAATGGAAAACTATGTAGTTGAGACTGGAACAAATATTGTAATGATAAATCGAATTGTTGTTTGGGATTGTAGATACACTCCACATATTTATAGATTAAAAATTGTAACTACTTGCCTATGATATTTATGGTAATAATTGCTGCTTCTATATAAGACATATAAAAGGAAAAAGCCATTATAGCATAAATATAGTATTTTATCCAACTTTTATTCTGCGATGTTTTCAAGTTTGTCATAATAATGGTCTTCTACAGTGCTGGTGTTTCTAATAATGTACTTCAAATGTGTTCAATATTCTTAAATTATTTTTTATTACTTACTGTTATTATAACTGTTATAACTGACATTTGTAATGATAGCAGGAATAGCTTACGGTTGTCCAAAGGTGTTGCAAAGACATTTCTTAAGCCCTGTGTCTTTTTGTAATAGAAAGGTTGGGTTTTTGTTTCATTTTTACTTTATTTTATATATATTATTATGTTAAAGCTATTAGAGCCAGTGCAGTTGAGTACTTTTACTCTTTCTTAACTTGAGGTATTTTCAAAACCGCTCTCTACGCTTTGATTGGATTACATATCATCACATTTGTTTACATATTTTCAAGTTAAATCAGAATTGTTTATAATTTTGAATTTATTACATACAACTTATATTATAACAGGTTTTCCTGTTCTGAAATCAGAACAAAAATGATCAACGTGTGATATTAACGTTACCGACTAAGCTAAGTGGGTATACTAAGAAATCTATATCAACGATACAGACTAGACCACGTTGGTATATTAAGGAATCTAGAGCAACGTTACCGATCAGGCAACGTTGTTCTTTTAAGAAATCTATATTAACGTTACCGAATAAGCCACGTTGGTGTGCCAGGGAATCTACGTTAATGTTACTGACTAGGCCACATGATATGTAATTTTTGGAGGTCATACATTTTGAAATGAGAATATTGAGAAGCTAAATAATTTTATGTCTATGAACTAAAAAAGTAATGTCATAATAGTGTCATTAACTTTTAAAGGAAGTCTGTTTGAAATATAAAGAAAATATATATATACATATATCACTGAAAATTTGTCGTATCTACGCCCATCGTTGTCAATATGGCACGAATGTTCCATGTCAGAATGTGTCAAGCTGACAAGAACATTTTAAAGATTATCATGCATAAATAGAAGAACGTTTCTGAAAGTGTAAGTTAGAATTTCCATATAGCAACGTAGATGTCTTTTAAATCCACCTAAATGCTGCCACATTTGCAATTGTTGTGCGCTTTTATTGTAAACGAGGGTGTAATGCAAATATTGTAGTACGAGCATTTAACAAAAGTGCGCAAGTGTTTGTGTAATACTCACTTCCGTGCTGGTTTCATCTAAATAGTTTCTTCACCAGCAACTCATCCATATACAATCTAACCGCTGTGGTATTTATTATGCATTTCACATATTTTTGTTTCTACTATCTTCGTAACTTCATTGTTATTTTTCCTTATTTGCTTCTTATTCACATGCTTAAACGGATTTAGTTAATAAAGTTTATTTTCTATTCTGCAAATGTAGCAGATTCGTCTTGCATACACTTGTGCATATGTGCAGATTACTCCTAGATACATATAGTATCTGCCATTTTCGCTTTGTACATGAGTTTGTGCTTTTATACAATTTGTAAATAGCTTTATCACAGTAATACTCGTACCTAGACAAATCCGTAGCAACATCCATGCAAACACACATTAGCATTTGATAATATTTCTATCTTCATCAGCAGATGCTTTTCGAATCCATCGTTTTATTCGAACAACTTTGCTGAACCAAGTACGCCACTTCTCTGCAGGTACACGTGTAAAGGATTAAATTTATTCGTAACTTGGTGTTTAACTAATTTGTAGTCTATAAAGAAACAATGTTGATTTCTTATGCCTAACCATCATCTTCATGTTTGTTATTATAAATGTTATAAATAAAGTAATCCTTGTAATTATGACACACAACAAATTGCCAAATTGTTTTGTAGTTCTAAGACAACATGAAAAACTTTTTGGATTAAATGAAAACAGAACAAAAAGTTCTGTTCAAGAATTTTTCTTATAACAAATTCATATTAATTTAGGGAATTCTTAATTATCTACTAAATATTGATTAGTAAAAAATAGTTAAGTCATCTGTACATCTATGACTATACAGAATTTAAATTGAATATATTTTATTATTCAGTTTGTTTATACGTTGTTCAATATGCTTTATTTATTAAAAAGAGTAGTAATACCAAAAATTTTGAGCCATTATAATTTTTTCTCATATGAACATAATGCAGTTCAAGCATGACAGAGTACTGACACAACTATTAGTACTTGCAGTCCAGAAATTATATACGAAAAAATAAAATCAAAATAAAATTATCAAGGATCATCGATGATGAGTATTTGGCAATATCCAAAACAAATGTTTGGGTCGTCAAATTGTCCAAAAATAAAAAATAAAATTTAATATCAAGCACTAGTCTTCGTGTATTGCGAAATACGCATTATTACAGTTATATATAGTAATTCGAAAATTTCAATTGATAAAAAAATGTGATTAAGTTCTTATAGTATAAGTTGCATATACTTATACCACTTATACCATAAGTATAAGAATAATTTTACTTTCTATCTGAATTTAAGTAAATTTAATTATTGCCGATATTTTATTACGACAATTATTGTTAACAAGACATTAGAAATTGACATGCCAGTGTATTTTTCAATATTAAAGAGACATCGATTAATTTCATGGTTAAAAAAAGTATCTGGCGCTTCAAAAGTAATGGTAGGCTAATTTGTTTGGAAGTGGTTGTACATGCTTTAAAGACAAACCAAGTGAAGTAAATTCAAAAGCTGCATAAACACTAGAAAGAGTTGTAAACCTTATAGGTTTGGGAACGTAACAGTTATCATAAAAAAATTAAAAATCACCTTTTAACTATTAT